ATATAATTTATATATATATATATATATATATATATATATATATATATATATATATATATATATATATATCGAAATGTTTAGCAATTTTATCCATTTAATCTTCACTAGCAAACATTACTGCGTAATGACGTTAGGGCAAAATTCTTAGAAAAGCCTGGAGCCAAATATTGAAGTTGAAATTGAAGCAAACATTACTTTAGATAAGATAAAAACGCAGCTGTAAATTTCGAGAGCACCGATAAATACGTTACGTTTGATCGGGTCAGTTGAAAATTTTCATTGTCACTTTACGTCATTGCGCAAAATAAATAATTACCTCACAAGTTGCAGCTGGCGTTAAATTACAAGCCGCGATAACGGCCTGATGTTTAATTTCGAGTGCTTTCTTCGACACTTGCGCGACATTGACACGTAGCGAAAAAGCGCGACGTGCTACGACGATCGCAAAAAGGCAGCCGTGCAAACGGGACGGCCCGCTCCGCATCGTAAACAAGATTTGTGAGCAATTTGGAGGAAGTCATGTGTCATGTGTTTTTGCGTACGTTGTATTTAACCGCAGTTCACGGGAGTCACGGACGCGATAACACGCTCGGATAATCTCGGGACGTAAACTGTTTTGACTAATCCGTACGCACCTGTTTCCTGTCGACACATTCGGGCGAATAGATAAGCCGAAAATGGAACGACATTGTTGTACGTCACGTTAACTCTTCGCAACAGCGCGAAATGCTGATCACTAAATGACGAGGAACAATAAAACATCAGGAATATTGATATCCCGATTGATCGGTTCGAAAACGTAACACAGCGCTTAAACGCAGCGAAAGCGCGAATTTTAAAGGAAAATACTTTTCAAAAGTATTAATTTGTTAATTAATCGATATAAAATAGTCCTACACAAAGATACAAGCTCTTCATCTCGTAACGATATTCATTATTTTTTATAAGTTATAACGATACTAGTTACTAATATTGAATACAGTTACGATGAAGACTCTGTATATAAAAGGATCGGAGAGAAATTTTTGCTCAATATAATTTTTTTTTCAACAAAATTTATTACACCCGTCACTTCGACATAAACTGAGGAAGAAATGCTTGAAAATTCCTCTTGTGGGATACAAATTTCTGTGAAATGAACTTCTGTCCTATGAATAAATTTTTAAGCGTTTTTTCTCAATGTAGAGCTGTCACTGAAAATTCAAATAAAACAATTCGTACTTCGGGAGAAGCGTTGCTTCATGATTGATGGCGAATCGTAGCGGATGAAAATCTCTCGGGTCTCGATATCGGGAGCACATCAGCACCATATGTTAACGTGTAAAGCCGTTGCTCTATTCTCGCAAAAAACGACCAATAAAAAGATAACTCGTCGACCTTCGATATAGTCTATGCTTCGCGCGGCGACTGGACTGTCCGTCTCTTTTCAACCGCCGCGGGGCTCTCCCTCTCCGTCAGCTGTTTCCTTCTATCTTTATCTCTTCCTCGCATTGCGCTCCGTACGTGTGCACCAGCTGTCTGCGCTTGTGTATGTATGTGCACGCGTGCGTTGCCAACTTTCCCGTATCATAATAGTACACACAGTGAAAGAATGTGGTTTCCCTTTCAAATTACAAAATATGTCGCGCCGATACGCGGCGCGCACACTTCCTTCATTTCTTCGACTTCATTCTTTCTTCGCGATCTGAAAATCCAGCTTCGGTTTTCTTTTCGAACGCGATCGTCTTCATAGATAACGGCGTCACCGGCTTTAGAAGCCGACATCAGTCTCATGTTTATACATATATCCACGAGAAGAAGCATGTAAACCTGTCGTTGATGTTTGCGCACTCTTGTAATATTTAACATATCCGCTTGTACATTTTATAAAGCTGAGGCCACCTCGAGCCCCGCGCGCCTTCATCGTTCAAGCGCGATTGAAAACTCACTTGTCCTGCTGACAAGCGAAACACGGCGGTCTCTAAAGGTTCAAACTGGAAAGGACAGCATCTGCGTCTGAAACCTTGATTGAGATATTATATTGCCACAGGGGGGCGCACACAATCGGCGCACAGTTTTATTACTAAGGAAGGACTTGACCCAGATTATCGGCGAAACAAAAAAGAAAAAAATTACACCCAGGCGAGATCCATCCCGACTGAATATATCCGTCCCGACGTGTTCGTCGAACGGACACGGTATCGCCGCCGGCGACGATTTGTATCATCTTTCACGTTATTAATTTAGACAGGAAAGGATTTATGTGGGCTGCACGATGAACTGGGTCAGGGACGCGGGTCTGTACACGCACGCACGCAAAGTGTGTGCTAGGCAAACTATCCAGGTTCCCTCATTTATCTATTAACGATAAAGAACACGTTGTTATGAAAACACAGCCGCGCATATGTACGCGACATCTTTCTAATAATACATTTCGGAACGTTGCCATATTGCAAAAAGAAAATAGCTATATCGACGAAATCTCTATAGTCATCTCTTACTTCTGTACTTTCCGCCAATTAACTTGATTATAAAAATACAATCGTGCGTCAAAAATACACACTTTCCTAATAAAATATTTGGAAATTTTGTCTTATTTGAAAGAGGAAAACAATTGTATTGATAACATTTCTGTAGTCGTTTTACCTTTCGACAATTAACTCTTAATTATTATAAAGACAGTCGCACGTCGAGAATACTTTCCCAACGATATATCTTGAAATTTTGTCATACCGCAAAAAGAAAATGATTGTATTGACAAAATTTCCAAAATCACATTTCTCTTTTACACAGTACTCTTTGGTACACTTCTCAGTGATTAACTTAATTATTACGAGTACACAGTAAATCGGCACGATATTTATTGCACCTTCTTAACGTAAAATATTTTATTTGTATGGCATGAAATCGAGCTTTGTACACCGGTTAATTAATTAATTTCACCCATAAGGACATTCAATTAACGATTGCATGCGTCTTATTTCAGAAGGCATCTCCCGAGCGTGCGAGAGGATACTTAACTACAGCGAATGGCACGCGTATACAAGAGGTATAAAAAGAAATTAATAACGCGGAAAACGTTGCGCTTTCCCGTGAGTGGATCGGTACGGGCAACAGGTTTCCTTCGTCTTCCAACGCGGCTGCTAATCCCTTCGCCGTAACTTCAGTACTTGAGGATATCCCGCACGGCGGCGAAGCAACGCCATTTGTCCGGCAGGTAGAACGGCTCCAGGACGTGCGGGAAAGGACAGTCCCATCCGGTTACCCTCTGAACCGGCGCCTCCAAGTACAAGAAGCATTCCGCCTGTTTTCGTCGGTTTCATAGTGTGAGTATCGTAGCTTAGCGTGTAATTACCTCACGGGATTAGTTCACTCAACGGCATCCGCCACGAACGGGCTCTCGGATTCGTGTCGTATCGAGAGGAACGGGTTCCTCGATCTCACGGCTCACTTTCGTTCGCTCTTCCTTTCTTCGAGACTGTCTCACCGACAACGATTAATCGCCGACAATTGGACGATAGATTCGAGAAACAAGCGACTAATCGGACACGCATTCAGAACCGGTTTAGAGTTCGCGTTCTAATACCTCCACTAGTAATATTAGCACCCCGCGCGACGATAAATAAGGCGACGGCCCCAATTATAAGTTGAGTTAAATCTTCTTTATTAATATATGAAAAAGTACACATTATAAAAGATGAAAGCACGGAAAACATTATTTTATATTACTTCTTTTGTAATTGTGCTCCAAGGTAGCATCCACGAACATTCTCAATAAGAAAAAATCTAAAACATCAGTTGCTTTATCGACTTTAGAACAAACCAATTTAAATGCTAATTTAAGTACTAATTTAACTAATTTAACTAATACACTAACAAGTAAACCTATCCAAAAGATACACTCCGATTTCTTTCTAATTTAGCACAAATGTAGAAGTGCAAACAATATTTAGGTCATATTTTTTCATTTTGGTCCTCTTTAAGTTTCACGGGTAGTTTATAGCTTTTTAATGTTCTTACTCCTATCATCAACAAGTACAATAAAAATGCATAAGAAATAAAGTTAAATACAAGGTATAGTTAAATAATTTTAATAAAATCAATATAACTGAGCGCAAACCATTCTAAATTTTTTTAGCCGAGATTCCAACTAAAATATTTCAAATCTGTGCTAAATTAATAAAAAATGGTTAGAATCTCTTTAAACCGAGAAATTATTTGTATATATAGTTTTTTTCAACTTTATACATGTTTTGTTTAAACATTTTATTATTTATACAAATAATTTTATACATTTGACATCATATTTATAATCAGCAAACCAAAAACGCCTAAATCTTGTATTTAATTTTATTTCTTATACATTTTTGTTGCACTTATTGATGATAGAAGTGAGAACATTAAAAAGCTATAAACTGCTCGTAAAACTCAAAGTGGGCCAAAATAAAAAAATATGACCTAAATATTTTTTGTACTTCTACATTTGTGCCAAATTAGAAAGAAATCGGAGTGTAACTTTTGGGTAAGTTTACTTGTAAATAACTAATTTCTTCTCAAGGTAGAAAAAACTTGGTTGGATCAAACAAATTTCTGGATCAAACAAATTTCTGAGATATGAGCGAACCAGAAAATTCCGGTTGACGTTACCAGTTCAAGTTAACAAGATTCCTATTTAAGATTTATGGAATAATTTTGGAAGAATTTTAAGAATAATTTTGTACAGACAATAATTTCGCTTTAAAACGAAATTTTGTTGTTTATATTAGTATGGACAGTTCGTCTTAATGTTCCATCGACAAATTTATGTGTAAACAGCTGAAAGTTTATCCGGATCTTTAGGTGACCCACAATTAGGACCGTCACCTTATTAGCCGGCACCGCCGGCGAGCACTCTTCCTCGGTAGCGTTAGTTTGTGCATCAGTGTCGCACAATAGGTTCCGCGCGTGTGCTTGCATGCATGCATGCATCTGGCGTGATTGCGTTATGGATGCCTTTATAGACCGCGGCGGCACTTTCTATTTGCGGGTTGCGCAAACGGCCGGTCTCGTATTGTTGCCGCGAATCCGCGAATGCCGATGCCGTGGTAGAAGGAAACACCTTACCTGCACGGTCGCGGTCACCTCTGCCCCGAATCCGTTCGTCATTGGCGCCTCGTGGGCGATGATGGCGCGTCCGGTTTTCTTCACCGACTGCAACACATTTCACGCGCAGTGTAATTTATCAGCCGACCGTGGCGAGATCAATTCACGCGGTGATTTACGTCTCGTCCCATATTATGTCGCGGTGTAATAATAACTCGCGTATGTACGCGCGGGCCTCGATGCTAAGTGGCCGCGTCGCATTAACGCACCGGCACGAGCCGTTTTGTAACGGCTATCAAATGCAGGCTACACGTGAGACCGGCTGGAAGTACGCGGGAACGGCTGGCGACCGGGACACGTATGTGTGTTGGCGTGAACGCACTTGTGTGTCCCGTTGTTGTAAATCATTGACAAAGATAACTAGATAAGTGAGCGCGAAACACCGCGTCGGATACGTGCAGGTTGACATTTTCGAACTCGACCTCCCTCGCAAACTTTCCAGATTGTTACTGCTGGTGGTTCGGTATACCCTATGCGTGGAAACTACGGTCTTTCAATTTCTTGGAATGAAATTTCACTCGAGAGATAGAGTGACAGCTGAACCACTCGAACAACTCGTAAATTCTTCACTCCGAATCGCCGAATGAATATTTTCACTCAGAATCGAAGAGTGATGCACTCCACTGTCACGGAGACAGTGATTCACTCTGATCCAATCCTAATTGCAACTCGTGTAGAATATTTGAAGACAATATTATAGTATTTTTTTTAATTTTTAATATAGCATTATTTTAACTTTTAACTAATTTTCTTCAATTTTACTACATTGAGAGGAGAAATATCTAAGAGATAAAAGATATTTATTTGGTGGATACTAATGACATATTATTTTGTACTAATACATGTATTGTGTGTAAAATATTCTTTAAGTAAGAAAATATATATTTTTTTTAAACTAACTTTTGATGAAAGCATTTTTTTATGTAAAATAATTTGTGTAAATATGTTATTAGTATTCATCGAATAAATTTTTTTATTCGTTAGATAATTTTTTTTGATATAGATGTTTCTAATAACGTAAGAAATAGATGGCTATCTTGCTGAGGAACATATTTCGCTAGAAACAATTTCCTTTTCCACATTAAATTTTTTTTTCAGTTCCAAGAGAAGATAACGCGTATGAAATGAAAGGATAGTCAATTACTGCAGAATGTCGACCTATCCCTCGGCAACAAAATTCTGCAGTAATTTTTCCTAAGAAATTTTCTCCATGTAAGTTTGAGTTAAACATTAATTCTTGTAATTTCGAGTGGCAACATTTTTACTATTTCGCTTCGAATGAGGTTTCGCCGCAAGAAATGTAAGAAATATGCTTCTATGTTCGTCGAATTAAAATTGATGATATTCCGCGACGCACGTCCGCGCGACAATTAACCTTTCAACAGGCGCTTCACCGTCACAGTGGCGAGCCGTTGCTTCCTCGGCGACGTTCGATTTCTCGATTTCGAAAGGCGAAAAATCAAGTCTTGTACTCCCTCGTCTCACTATGGTCCGACAATATCGAGAGGAGAGTTGACCCGGGCAAAAATGTCACGAAAGTATGAGCGTCCTGCTGAAAAATAGAGCCGTGACGCGTTCCACGTCGGAGTCGACGATCCCCGCCGCGTAATAAATACCCGTAGTCGAAACGCTCGTCTTATGCCGCTCGTGTATTCACCGGCCACCCTGCTTCGTCGACGAACGACGCAATCAACGAGTCCCGTCAGCCTCCTCGCGCGAGTTACAACGATCTCTCTCGCCGAAGCGATGTATCAGAATTTCGTTCGAGCGGTCTGGTCTCGTTACGAAATCGCGCGCGCGCGCGCGCGCACGGAGTTTTGCAGGCAGGCAGGCGGACATCGGCGTCGGGTAGACAGGACGGCGAATCCGCGACTGTATCGAAATTGCGGCGAAACGGGTTTCCAATTACGCTCACCTCTAGTCGTGTAAGTTGCATTGGTACACAACACACACACACACGTAAACATACTCGCAGCGCTATATAATATCAGCGGTTTGTAAACCGTGAGCGCGTACTGTACGATCGGCATATCATTAAGCGACCGGAGATCGATTAGCATAAATCAGCGCGATATTAGCGTCTATGGAAATCTGTGCTATCGTAACCCGAGGGGGCATGCGGAGTCGGCTTCGCGCACCTCACGACCACTTTTCATCCCGCCGTTGGACGCGACGCAGCGACAACATCCGCTTCTATCGCCGACACGGCACGCTGCATCGTCGCGCCGTAGATCGCGCCGCGATATTCCCGGAGATACCATCGAACAATATGCCAGGATCCTCGTAATTTTATCCCGGCCGACATTCCGCCCTTATAAGAGCGCGCGTGGGCGGCGCGATCTTTGAGACGTTTCGGCCGCGACGGCGATTTTTCATCTCGTTGCGGCACACGCGACCTCGAAATCAAGTCTGAGAAAATCGCCCGCAATTATTCCACGCGCGGAAAGATTATTGCGAGCTGAAACTAACAGCTGAGAAACTGGAGCAACTAGACCTAATATTAACACTTTATTATCTGGGAGCCTATTAAGAGACTTTTTAGATTAGAACTATGAAGTCAGAAGTAAATATTTCAGTTCATTTTACGCACAGTTTACACGGAGAGGATTTTATAATGGAAATTACTTTAGAAATTTTCTACTTGAGACGCGAACAGATCGAGATATTCTGCAATTGACTGTCTTTCTATCTAAATGAAAATCTGGGTGTCTCACCTGAGGCAAGTTTCAAGTAACGACTATTCATACGGATTTCAGATCTAAATTCGAAGTTACTCTCTAAATTTTTTGGAGTGAAATTTTATTCGAAAAGTAGAATGACAGCCACTCGAATTCGAGTTATTGTTTGTTTCTATTAAAGCGAATTCTCCACTCTGAATCGTTGAATGAATATTTTCACTCGAAATTGAAGAACGAATCTGATACATTCCGCCGCCAAGGAAACTAGTTCAACCCAATCAATTGAAATCCGCTCATATGGTGTCAGAATCTATTCTAATTTGGAGTGAGACATATTCGCTCGTGTGATTTCGAGTGACAATACTTTCACTATCGCCTCGAGTGAAAATATTGCCACTTGAAGAAATTTAGAGAGTAAATCTGAATTTTCCATATTGCGATTTAACTAACGACTCTGAGATCCCGCGCGAAAATAGGAGACGCGATGGATATCGCGAACGTGCGCGTTATCGCGACCGGGAACCCAGCACACGGCTTGAATGAGAAAGGCTTGAACGGCCGCGAGCCTCTCTTAGTCTCAAGGAAAATGTCATGATAACGCGGAGAAATGAGATTACCCACCTTGCAGACGAGTTCCGCGTCCCAAGGTAAGATGCTGACGAGGTCTATCACCTCGCAGGACACGCCGAGCTTCTCCTGCACCAGGTCGGCCACCTCCAGCAGTACGTGCACCTGAGTGCCCCAGCCCACTAGTGTCACCGCGTTACCTACGCCGCAAACGAGACAAAGTACATACGTAGGTACAATTGCGAGCGCGAATGCGTGCGCGCATAGTCGCATAATAATCGTTTCACCTTGCACAACGGACCTCGCGCGAACGTTGCGCGAACGAGCGTGTGTATGTACGCGCGTTTCTTCTGGCGTATCCTGTTTCAGGACCGGTCATCGGCGAGAGTGCCGCCGCTACGGCGATTGGATAATGGAAGGAGACGATTACACTCGCGTAAATTATATTCGCGAAGGGGGAAAGGGGGGCTCGCGGTGGCTCGCCGCGCGCATACGCCGTACCGACGGCGCAAATCGTCACCTCCTGCGACTTTAAGCAATGTCCTTTGCGCGCTTTCGTCACTTCGGGAGAGTACACGAGGAGAGAGACCGGTCGGAATAATTTTTCCAAGAGACGCTATTATGGCAAATGTTTGTCAATCGTACGACGCGCGATCGTTTCCGCGTTTCAGTCAGACACTTGACAACGCGAATTATAAATCCGTCGTCGAACAAGCTCGCGCGACCCAAAATATCATCAATCAGGGGACGTTCACGCCAGCCGATTGATGTAAATGTCAACAGCGCCGATAGTCGTTACCCAGCAAACATCAGCCAACATTACCTCAATGTTTTAATTTCCGACTCAATAATATAACTGTAAATCAATAATATAACTGTGTTACAATATACTAAATTCACATATTGTTAGGTAGGAAATCATAATATTGATGTAATGCTACTTGTTAATGTTTATTGAATACTCGTTCTAAACCAGGATTGGGAAGCAACGCGTTGTTTGTCATACCGTTACAAATTACTTTTCTTCAGTAGCAACTCTCTGTATAAATAACATTATTCTTTCGTTACAGTAGCGAGGACGTAATTACATTGTAATATACAAGAATATATCATGACAACTTTTAGAATAATGACAAGAATAACGAACTTATTTTTCAAAATGAGTCACGGCAACAAATTATTGTTATTTTTTTTCAATAGACAAAGAAAAACAGTAATAAGTTGTTTTCAAAAAGTAGCTTCCCAAGACCTGTTCCAGACACAATTTAGCGCTAGACCTAAACGTTAAAGCGATAGTTACCTTCTCTCACGACCTCAGCCTTGCCGATTTCAATCTTGTAGTGTTCCACGGGCACTTCATCGACCGCCTTGCGATATAGAGCCTTGGGTTCGAATATAATGCACGGATCCGGCTCATCTATACAGCTCAGCAGCAATCCTTTCGCATGCACAGCTCCGCGAGGTACGACAATCTAAAAGAAGAGACATTCTTGTCAGAAACGCATAATTGTCCTTCGCGATTTTCTCATTCTCTCACGGCATATCCGCCGGTCGATAATCGCGGTTCCCCGGCGGCTTCTTAAAGCACGCGTGAAATTGATCGGCTCCAGGAAATGTCGGCGCGATATTGCGCGGCGATATTACGCGTCTCTCTCTCGTAATCGCGATGTACGATAGCGACGGTCGTGCATTAGTGTGCGCGCAAAACTTTCTTCATGCATACGTAGAGTACGTACGTCGTACAATATTCATGGAATTTGTTGAAGAAAGTTGAGAACTCTCTCGCGGCTTTGACCCGCGCGGAATACAGCGCAGATGCGAAGAATGTCCTTGATGATGGAAATTTGGTGGCGCGACCGTGCGGCTCCCGCGACTGCCCCACGGAGACAATTTGAATAGTAATCCTTTAATTATGTGGACCGCGCGGTTCTCCGAAGGGGAGAAGCACGCGGTGCTGTTCGCGTTAGATTCGGCGTGTAAGAGCTAAAAACGGCACTAACCTTCAGGCCAGGAGTATGCGCGAAATAAGCCTCCGGGCTTTGCGAATGATAAAGACCGCCGTGGCCGACGGCTCCGCAGGGTGCACGAACCGTAAGTTTGCCGCAGTTGAACATGTTGCCGCTTCGATATCGCACCTTCGCCGCTTCATTTACCAACTGTGGATACAACAAACATATATATATTTTTATGAAACTGTTTCGACAATTTTAAACAATAGATTATCGCACTCTAACGACAATTTGTGCGACGACCGAAAAGCACATCTTACGTTACTTTAAATAAACTGCGCAAAATTCTCGTGACGCATCGACATTTCTGTCGGTTTTATCTTCAAGCAACTATATTTGTACATATGTTCACTTTGAGGCTGTCTTCATTTTTTTTCGATAAGCAGTGAAGAGTTATCGGCAAATTGATTTGAATATCACCTGGTCAAAGGCTGGGAAAATATAATCCGCGAATTGTATCTCGGCGATCGCCGATACTCCAGCGTTGGCTAAGCCAATCGCAAAACCGACTATGCCTTGTTCGCAGAGAGGAGTATTAAACACACGATCACTGCCGAAGCGTTTCCTTAAATCCATACTGCAACGAAAAACACCTCCAAATGCGACGTCCTCGCCAAATACCACTGAAAATTTGAAGGAAACTGTTAGTCGAGAATTTCGAAACTATTTTCCATGAAAAATACAAAAATATAATTGGCGGATTTTTTATTTAATTAAAGGATAAATATCATTTAGGAAAAGGTCACTTATATATATATATATATATATATATATATATATATATATATAGAGAGAGAGAGAGAGAGAGAGAGAGAGAGAGAGACCAAACTCTGCACATATCTTTTGAAAACAAGTAAATTGCAAAAGAGAAATTAAAATCCAAAAAATTATAAATCGTGAGTCACATACCTATTTAAGTTTCTATCTAAGTTTCTATGCAAAATAAGACACTTGCCTGTGCGGGATTCCTTTTCCATCGCGAGAGAGAGTCCGTGATTTATGGCTTGAAACATATTCAGCTTTTGAGTCTCACCTGAAAGTACAAGTTGCTTAAATCATCAAGAAATATTGTATGTGCGGTATAACAAGATTTAATTCTAACCATATCATTTTCAACACTTGTAAACGTTCTAACACGGACAAAAATAATTAGTGTTGGAATCGACGTGAAACGGAATCGACTGTGAAAATCGAGTTCGAGCTATCGCGGCGCGGTCACATGACGTCCGGCAAACACGTCGATTTTCGGCCGTGATTTTAGCGCGGTTCGAACGATGGTTTTGAGAAATTCCGAAGTTAGGTGCACGAAGAATCTTTCAATAATATTGTTTGTTTTGCTGTCTCGTCTACTTTAATATCTCCGTTCTCCGGCGAATCAATGAAACAACGCGACATGTCAGATGACTCGTCACGTCGACCATATCGAGATTTCGAGAGAATCGAATGATTCGCAGGTTAAAATTGGCAAAAGCCCACTTACCGGTGTTTTTCGGCTTCTCACTCGGAAAGTACGTGAAGTGCGTTCTGGCATGTTTGAAATCGATGGCGGGAGCGTCGAGCAGCTTTCTTCCGGTGTTTTGTAGGCGCGTACTCAGCCTGCCGAACATCATTCTACGTGGAAGTGCAACTGTCGTTTCGCCGTGTCCACGTGTACGTGCACGTCGCTGAAAGTTTCGGTCTTATCTCGATTTACACACAATATAGTGAAGCAGCGCGCGCGGAGCAGGACGAACGGCCTCTCGCTCGACCTCACGTGGAATTTCGTAAACAACTGGCGTCCTTGGAAAACGCGACGGTTGCACAACGATCCAGTGAACGTTCCGGTGCGCGTTCAACGAGCGGCTGCCATTACTGCCGCGAGTGTCCGTCTCATTGGCGCGACTTTCCCAATTTCTGATTCGTCGGTCTCTGCACTTCGAAGGCTACGGATCTGGGCCCTTACTCTTGAAATAGTTGCGTATACGTAAGTTTTACTGCGCAAGTTTAATCATACCATAAAATAGCTGCACAATGAAAATTACGTATTCGCAAAAATTTCAAGAATAGGGGCTCTGCTCCTTTTAGCTGAACCGAGTTGCACTTCTTATTCTCAGAGTGAAACAGACAGGTAACCTGACATATTCCTCTTTTTTTTTTATCGAAGAACGATATACGAAGCGAGATTGACAAACTTCTTGACTGTATATCGGAAAAAGAACCAACGGTTGAGGGAAAAAGGAATGAAATTCCAATGCATTTTGGTTTATGCCAGTTTCTATCAACTAATTAACTTTATCAACTTAATTAACCAATCGCATTTCTCATTAGTTAAAAGTGACAAATGATTGGTCAATTCCGTTGAAATAACTAGCAGGTTAAGTTAACCAAAATTGGTAGAAATGGATATTAAGGAGCTTATTCACCAGGTTTGTATTTTTAGGACGTACTTTCAGCATCGAGGGAGCTACTCATAAATTCACTATTTATCAAACAATTTACATTTTCATATATTTATTTCACTATTTAAATAATAAATGTCAATTTAAAAGTGATATCATGATACTGCCTTGCCACGTTTCACTCAGTACAATACGCCATTCAAAGCATAAAACAACAGTTTCCTGGCGTACAATCGACCGCGTTTTGCGACATAGAAGAAAAATATGTAATATTTATAACGATAAGCTTTATATTTGAATGGTATTACTATTTTACGAAGCTACACTGGAATAATGTGCATTGCGATATTTAGTACAAAATTTCTCATGAATGGTGCAGATAAATCACAGAACACTTCAACTACAAATGTGTTTTACTGCGGCAAATGTTACGTTAAATTCTCGTATAATTTCAAGCACTCTGGTTCAAGTGAATAAACTCCTTCAAAGTGCAAGCCTGTTGCGCTGGGTGTCGCTCGTGTCCACGAGGTGTTCGAAGAACGAATAGCTGTAAGTCTGTTCTATAACCTCCTAACGACAATGTCGCTAGCATGATATGTCGTTACGCAGATTTTTTACCATATATCATGTCCGCGACAACGTAACGCGATAACGACACACTGTTGTTTAGAAGTTACAGAATAGGTTTACTGGTGGACTTTCCGCTTCTGGAATTCGGTTACCGACACGTGGACATAAACAGATATAGCTGTTAAACGAACGAACGCTCGCGAGACACCTCGATCTTACGCGTACGAACGAGAACTGGTTTCTCTACTGTGTAGACTCTGCGAACGCGGGGCTAAGGTAATTCGGAGTGGGAGCAGCAAGATACAATAATCCGCTGTCCCGTCACGTCACGTCGAATCGCTTATCTTTGTCGCTTATCAGTTTATATTGCTGAACAAATAATTTTGCTTCTTAATCGACCATGTTGCGATGGTCGTGAGTGACGATTAGTGTGCATCGTACAATACAATGAAGATAATTGTAATTGTAATATCAAACTATTATTTCGAGACTCAACGTGACGTAGCGGATTATATTGTTTAAAAAAATTTGCTATTATTGTCTTATTATTGTTAATATTATTCTTACTTTATTCTGCCTAGTCTTTGCTTATAGGCCGAGTGGTCGAGTGAGCAGAGTACCCGACGAGGAAGACACGCAATTACACTTAAATGATTTTAATATCCACTTTGATAGCGTCACATATGCTACAATATTTATACCATAATTTTTACCGACAGTAGTTGCGACTCGAGAAATTTCTACGAGTTTCTCCGAAGAGCTGCGTGCGTTTAGATGGCGCTTCACGCATAAATCAATTAAGCGAAGTCTACAATAGAAATCAGATAAGCGGACAAAATCCATAAAAAAAAAGAGGATAACGTTGGCGACGTTCAAAAGTCTCTAGAATCCATAAATTTATTTCTGAAGGTTATAATTGTTGGGCATTAGGAGAGTGTATAGAAGTATAAATTTGTGATAGGTTAACTTTGCACCTCTGTATACTCTCCTAACGTCCAACAATGATATTAATCTTCAGAAATGAATTTATGGATCCTACAGACTTTTGAACGTTGCCAACGTTATCCCCTCTCTTTTTATGGATTTTGACCGCTTACCGCCTTTAGGAAGATTGCTTTTTTTATTAAACGATTAAGAAGGAGAATATAATTCTCCTCCATCATTGTATTCAATTTATCTGCATTGTTAATTGATATTCATTATTTGGTTAATGGACTTAGCTCCGAAACCATAGAAAAATAACAACAACAACGCTGAGGGTTTAAGGTGCCTTTACATGGGAGCGTCGAGCGTTAAAGCGGTAGCCAATCAACGTGCCACTTTCCGCAAGAACTACAAGTATACTTCTGGAACCTGATACGTTGATTGGCTAACGCTCGACGCTAGAACGCTCCCATGTATTGGCAACTTTAGGGATTGGAAATTTACTCAATGAAAATTGCGGAATGCTCGTGATTGGTTCCGCTCCGCTATTCCGCTGCATGGGTTTGCACCCTAACTGTTGAGTTTTTCAAAGTTGGTAGAAATGGGCATTAGAGACCCTTTTCGTACGACCTCTTTATCACTGTATGTTCCATGCCGCAAGGATCTACCATTATAGATTCCTTGTCGAGACCTGTCGGGACGCTATTTTCCGAGACGGAAATAGTGTACAGTGTTATTTTCCTACTGAGCAAGACATCATTTTTCTAAACTGAGTCATCGTGGATTAATGACAAATATGAGCGATAGATCGAGCAACGGTGATTACAAGTATCAGAGAGATGAGGACGAAAATAAGTCTAGACTGCCGTTGGACAAGGAGCAAGACAGCAAGGAGCATCAGATAGACAAAGCTGGTGAGCTCGTGCGCGAGCTGCTTCAGGAGAAGATCGAGATCAACCAGAAATGGCCCAACGCGACCCGGCTACTCGACCAAGGTGGGTAAACGTGTTTCCCTCGTCAAGTTTTTCCGTGTAGTGTTTGTGTAATAATGTAGTTTCGTGAAATGAACGCTCCGAGTCCGGCAGGCACGCCGTCGATTTCCAGCGAATCGTCGTTTTGCCGGATGCCGACGAGCCGAGGTTTCTCTACTTGTAATAGAAGACTTTGCTAACAGTGAGGACATGTGTGCTTAATTACGGCCTAAAAAGAACAATTGGTGCATGGTTTACTACATGTTTAGTGATCTTGTATATTTTATAGAGATCCAGAAGATACAAGCTATCGGTAAGCCGCTGAGAGAATCGAAATACGTAGATATTTATCGCGAGAAACCAGTTCGCATCTCTGTCAAGGTTCTGGTACCTGTTCGTGAACATCCCAAGGTAAGGCACTTATTTATATAATCAGGAAGTGATGTGTTATTTGTAACAAGTTTTAATATACAGGATAAGTCGTCCAATATGAGATTTTAAAATATTTTGTTCTTTTTTTACATTAGAAAAAATCTATAAAGAATAAATTGTGTGATAGGAAAATGATAAATATTATAGTCAACCAATCTTTCCAACCATACAATTTTTTAGTTATACATTTTCTTCTAACAAAAATAAAAAATGAACAACAGATATTTTAAAATCTAACATTAGGTGATTCACCTTGCATATATCTTATATATTTAATTCTTTTTATTTTAATTAATATATTTTAATCTTATATTTAATATTATATGTATATATAAATCACTTAAAAAGTTTAAGTAAATAATTTTTCTAACTCTGTTATTTATTCAGTATAGTAATTTATATAATTATCAAGGAAATTTGAAATCCTTTAGTTGCGCAATTTGTTTGTTTAGTTCAATTTTGTTGGGAAATTGCTGGGTCCAAAAGGTAATTCTATGAAACGTTTGCAAGAAGAAACTATGTGCAAGATGGCAGTACTAGGTAGAGGGTCAATGAGAGACAGACAAAAGGTAGATAACAAGTGTATTTTATTCTTTGCTGGTGATTGTTTTACATATAAAACGAATATTTTGTCTACTTTTACTTTAGGAAGAGGAATGTCGTATTTCCTTGGATCCCAAGTACGCACATCTCACTGACGACTTGCATGTGGAGATCACTGCACTGGCACCACCAGCTGAAGCCTACGCCCGCATCGCTTTCGCACTTGCTGAGGTGCGAAAATACTTGATTCCGGACAACAATGATAATATACGTCAGGAGCAAATGCGAGAGATGGAGATGACCATGTCCGACGAGCCAGGCACAGAAGAACGAAGACCGTCTATAAGGGGACCTTCGACTCCTGCTACTAGCGGCATATTAAGACCTACTACCAGGCCGACGTTACCTAGGACGTCTAGAGGTTGGTTGCATGTTTCTGATAAAGACATGATGCAAAGTATGAACATACGAAGAGAACATTGCGAGACTTAGCAAATATAAGAACAACTCAGAAATAAATACGCAATTTAGATTTATTTTTCTTGAGACATTTGTCAATAATGATTTTTTAGCTATTCTTCCTCCGCCACCTACAAATCGTGGACCGCTTTCTCGAGGGCCACCTGTGCCACCTAAGACGAAAGTATTTTCCATTTTAGATCGCGCGAGAGCTGCAATGGACCAGAGTTACGGGTGAGCTTACACATTCTTTAGAAATGCCACACCATATATCTGTTGATATCAATCAAATGATGAATATTTTTCATCCTTGCAGCTATGAAGCTGCAACTCCCCCGCCGAGCAATCGCGTTGGATCGCATCATGATTATGATTACCATGGAAGTTCGACCAGCACTACTCGATATGGAGATCGACATTATTCATCGAGCTCTGGGTATGTATCAAATATAATATTTATATGTATATACATGTGAGAGAGAGAGAAAGAGAGAAGAAAGAAGAAAAGAAAGAGAGTAAGGTAACTTATAATTTAACTTTTCACTACTAATTGCCATTCATATTTTACAGAAATAATTTTTTGTATATTTTTCATTTAGTTTTCTTTTTTACATTTTTTAATTTCACTTTTTACATTTGCGATAGTATTTTTGTTATATTATGTAGTTACTATCGCTAAACGATGGACATTTCTATTTCTTTTCAACAGAGACGACATATATCTTTCTTCCAGATACACGACTTATGAATACGATGATGAATCCGGGCCGCACTCTTCGCATGATTATTACGAATCTTCAGATTATCCAGGTAAGTCTACTACGTTTTTGTCGTATTTGAAAACGACTAACATAAATTAATAAATTAAAATTCGCGTAAAAGTATTTTTTAAAATTTCATTTTAATAACTTGACTCATAAATTTCGCACATATCTAAACGGACAATTGTGTGATATTAATATTTCTCTCAAATATACTTCAAAGTGAACTCTTTAGGGAATCTTATGAAAGAATTTCTTGTCTTCATAACTACCGACAACTAAAATCATCCCAATCACTAGATAGATATCGTTTTAGTAAAAAATACATAATATTTATAAATATAAAACAAAACAAAAATGTTAAATGTGTCGTGCATTCAAATGCATTGAAAACTAAAATTATTTAACTTGTAATTAAATATTCGGCCCATCGTTTTTACCGGTGGTTGGTCAAAAATTTTTAGCCATTAAAAATCACATAAAACACATAGAGACTGATCAAACTGTTGTAAAATCTAATAACACGTAAGAGGGAAATATGCTCTAACAGCGGCGGGGATTGCCGAGCGACGCTTATACATGCAATTGAGCTCTGTGTCTTCCCTAAAACGAAAGTGACATTTTTTGAGAATGTGATGCCACATTCTCTTATCGCCCGACCTCCCGGCGTTCTCGTGATTTCGATCTATAAACATTATTTCTTAAGTGAAAACATAAAAAACGACGAGCTGCACGTAGACACTAGCACGTAGGTTATTAACGATCGTGGTATTGGTGTCCGCAATCAAAATAATCCAAACACATCAATCCATGCAATTCGCAGAGGAGTCATCGAGCCGCGCATGGAAATCATACAAGACTACAACGACGTCAGGCACAGCCTCGCGCTACCGCACCGCCCCGTATACTCGACCTTCCAAGTAAACGTCTATATAAAAATAATTTTTTTAAATCTATCTTGATATCAATCATCCATATGTTTCTCTAAATGTTTCTTCTTTTCCTGACATTATTATTTCATAGTGCTAATCCGTTGGCGAATAATCCTCCTAATGCACGGCGGCCTATGATGCCTACGATGCAGAAACCGATAAATGAAAGAAATCGTCCGTAAACTGTCGAAGAAGTACAGGGTTTAACACGATTTAAATGGTAACGACGTGCAAATACTACCACTATCTCGACGATTTAGAACAAGTATAATATATAAAAATCGAATTTAGTAGAAATTTTCCTTCCTGATGATCAAAAATTTATTTTGAACGTCTGTCTTCCGTTCAATATCTGTTCTTTGCGAGGATCACTCATGTTCTCGCTGTCCGTATCTTTCTCTCTTCGGTTGCAAAAATAGTTTGATTTTATTTCTGTTTGATATTTTATTCTCTCCATTTTTTCTCTTTTATTTCTTTCCCTTTTTTTTATTATAATCTGATAATTTTTAGATGAAATTTTCAGATTTCTCGCGGACACTGGATAAAGGATTCCGTAAATAGAAAGTAATTCGTCATAATTAAAATAATAATAACAAAGTTCATTATAACAGATCTTTGATAATTAATACGATACGTGAGTGGATAAAACACAATTAAAATAAGCAGCAAATTGCTGTATTGTTCCGTAATTTTCGCTGTAGTTACTAAAGGAATTGATAAAAGTTGGAAAATACGACAAGACGATGGGAGAAGTACTGTAGACAGAGACAACATTGATAAATGGATAATTTGATTTTTTTATTAAATTTTGTCGTATATCTTATTCAGCTCGATCAAATATTCGAAGAAATGAAATACACTTCTAAGATGATTCTCTCTACGATCTTGGATTTGTGTAATTTGTATGTATTGTGCATTTGTATGATTTATGCATAGGTAAGAAACATTGTTTAGAATTGAGTTCGCAATTGCATTGCTAGAGCCTACAATGCTTCTTCCATTTCATTGATTGTTTTTTTAAATTAATAATTACTTTTTAATAATTATTACATAAATCGTAAAACGATATCTACTCACGATATCCAATATCTCAGTATACTGTATTATCAGTTACTGTGTAATAGTAGTAATAATAACTGGTAATAATAGTAATTACTAGGCGCGGCTAACCACGCATAAAAGTTTGTTTCGTTGAAAATCTTTTTAATCGATTTGGACTCCCGCCCCATTAGCGGTATCAATAGTCAAATTACTAAGTTACAATAATTAATTTTCTACGAAAGCATTAACCTCATCTCCGAAATCCTCTTCCTGAAAATTTCTGACTACAAAAGGATTAAACTGTTGAAAAGGAGTAAAGGATCAAGAGGATCGATGGGATAAAATATGTAAAATGTTGGCATAAGCGATTAATGTCGGGTAAATGTGAAATAACAGCTATGAGATTGCATTATATTCGTATTTGATTACGTTTAATATTCGTATTTGATTATGTTTAATAATCACATATATAGGTTACATATATTTCCAAAATCATAGAATAATAAAAGTGTATCTAATTTCTTTGAACATTTTGATCGAGCTAAATAAGATACGCAATAAAATTTTATGAAATCTCCGATCAAATTACCCACTTATCTATGTTTGTAAAGAAGCGTATAGCTTTCAAAAAGAAACTCTTCTGCGTTGAAACATTTAATAAAATACTATTACATCATATAAATGAAATAAAACTAAATAAGTAAAATGACTTATATGCAATGCAAATTAAGTTTATAAATTGATTATAAATTAATGGTATAAGTTTATGACAGTCACTTAATACAGTGCTATATTGTTTGTTTATACATATAATATACGTATTCCCATCCGTAAAATGCATAATATATAGATTTACGCGTAAAGAATAAATATCAATCGTGCTGTGTAGAGTACTTTTGGATTCATGACAAATCAGTGCTTTAACTGATAATTCCGAATACGTAAACAAAAACACATTGTATGTGATTTCTAAACGAGTCTATCGTTAAAATAATAATACGTTCATTCTGTACACGTTTGTAACTATCATAAATTGAAATAAATATGACGTAATAACAGAAAGAATTTTGTGTTGAAAAATATACTGAAATAAAACTTCCCAACCACCAAATGTGCTAAGTTTCTTCAACGATTCTAAACAAAAACAAAATAGCTTTCCGTTTCACGACTAAACCTTGCGGGAATCGCAATTTTACCATTCATTGTTAAAGATTTTTCTTTGTCATTCCTCTTCGCGTTATATTTCATAGTCTCAAGAACCATTTAAACTATGTAGAACATTTCATATAATTACAATAAATTAAACTGTTAGTGCAAGTGATAAAAACAACCAGTAAGTAAGTTTCACGTGTTAAACTGTAAGCAATCTTATTATAGCGAGTATGTGTGCGGAAGAGAGAAAGAAATATTCGACGTGGAGCAGAGAGTTCATTCTAATTTTATAAGTTATCCAATTATTCAATTGCGAACACGGATCACTATTCACATATTTTTCTAATATTGATATTCATGCATCTTAGGTGGATACAAGATCGAGAAGATCGCGTGGGAATCGTGCTGTTTGTGATATGAAATATATTTGATACTTCTGATCGACGGATTTTCAAGTGCCGTGCGCTGACGTGAGTATACTTACATTTATTTGAAATTATTCGTTATAAATCTCTAAAAACAGACGTAGGATTAAAATGGTGTAACGATTTTCTTTCTTCATCATTTTTATTTATTTATTTCTGAAAAATGGAAGCATGATATGCATCTGTTTTTAACAGATATTTTTATGAAATATATTGAGTCGTTCAAAAAAAAAAAAAACAATCTGTTCGATTTAGGGTGAAGTTTGATTTTATTGCGTTCAATCGATCAGTTCAATAAATATTCGTATACATCACATAAAGACCATCATATAAAAGATGGTCACTGCTAAAGAAGACAATAAAAACTAAATCGAACTTTTTGTTTGACGACCAATGTTAGTAATGTTAGGCATTATCACCAATGTTGATTTAAAAGGAAGAAATAAAGAAACAATATTTCTCAGAAAATATTATGATATCCCCGCAAACATCTCACAATCTTCCTTAAGACACTATCATGATTTTCCCGAAAATATCATTATGATTTTCCATGAAAATAATTGTCATTAGTTATTTATCTCAATTATCTGAAATCATCTGATAAAATTATATAATTCAAAATGTCCGCGTCATGCATCCTCTGTCCTGTGGCTTGCTTCAAGCAGCCGACGAAATACTTTGCGCAAAGCGTGATGTAACGTTCGGTTACGCAAAAAGACACGCGAGAGTACCATAACAATGGGCAAAAAGTACGAGCTCATCCTCTCCTATCGATCGTCAATAAACGCGGCTCGTATGTCGAAACGTCCGGGACCTTCGCGGCGGTCAAACGTACTTCGCGCGCCGCGCACTTTGTCGGATGTTCAGTACGCTTCCGGCCGCCGCGCGACGCGCACATCGCGGCACGCACATCCGTCCGCCATTTGCGATTTATCTCGACTAGTTCAAACGTGCCTCTTCGCTCCTTGCAATATTCAATAAGACTTTCAATAAGATATCGCGTCACTTAACACGTATACTTTTGATCGAATCGTATATCCGCGAGTGTCAGTGCCAGTGTCAATGTCAACGGAGCAGCCAGGATTCTGAGCCGGGAAACCAAGAGGCAGGACGACGGGACGCGGGCAGGGATACTTCGTACATTTTCAAGGTGTTTGAAATCATTTATTACATATTAAGTTTCCATCTTTAATTGACGTTTAACGAATTTACTGAGAACAAAAAAATACCCGAGTCGAAATTTAGGCCGACTTTTATAGTCCGTCACCATTTGACGATTAATTGTAACTTCAGTTTTTTATTTGTTAATCAATATATACGTATATATCTGTACTTACCATATTATTTCAATATAAAAAAGATGTTGATATAAGTAGCCGAATAACGGTCGATGGATACGTACCTGGAATTATGTTTCGAATCAAAGATTTATTGAATAATTGAACATTTACAACTATGAATGCCGGCCTTAAAGTCTAATATGAATATCACTAGTGTTGATTTTTACGTCTAATAATGCTCTTTGAACCACGAATGCAGTCTTATTTGCATCAACTGGTGCTTTCTTTTTATTTCTATTTAGCTTGTTATAGTACAAAATCCAAATTTGAATTTGCATTGATAAACATTATTAGACATATATAACTGTTATTTTTGCCCTTACAGCTTCTTGATCAGCTCTTGTAAGAGCTACTAGTTGAGGCCATCAACGCCAAAAGAAAAAAGAGAAATTTTGAGAATAAGATTTAGTTGTTCCTTTTACTCACCCATTAATCCTTATTTGATTATTTAATATTTACTGATCTCATGTACTATATCTGCAGCTGAATAAATTACATAATTAAAAAATTGATTAAAACGCAGATAGATTATTACATTAAAATAAAATATTGATTTAATTAAATGTTAAGTAATATATATTCTGAAGTAAATTTTCACGAGTCTTTTATAAACTTGGAGATATGAAGAAAATAACTGCAAGTAACCATTAGTAGTAGTTAAGGTGAGTCTGTAGCTTATGTGAGATTCTCTATTGATCCTTCAAGTTCGATGAAATTTGCAGGATTAATGTGGAATTAAAATTTCGACTTGGGTAATAACAATTTTATAATACGTTTGCTACAACGCTTCATTTGGGAAATCTTCCCTACAGATCATATTATATTTTTTCTTTTCTTTTTTATATAATTATGCAAGAGTCAGACTTTGTATGAGATATTTAGAGAAAAATTATTATTACAATGAAATTTGTGTAGCTCTGGTAGCAAACGTGATAATTTTAATATTGTCTGGATTATTCGACTGTAGTTGTGCAAGAGTGATTCAATCTACATGAAGTAGATTTTGAGAAAAATTAAAATTATATATATATATATATATAAATATATGCACACACACACATACACACATACATATATATATATTTTATATATATATATATATATATATATATATATATATATATATATATATAAAATTTAAGAAATACAAATAGCACTGAGGTTTTTGGCAATCATTCAAGAAGTCAAGCATAGTCAATTTCCTTCTCTTTTCATTGTTTATTGACAAAGTTTAACAAAAAATAGATAAAAAAGAAGCAACTAATAAAAGTACAACTAATAGAAAAGAAAAAACTATTTTTAATTCATTTCAAATGCTTATCGGACTTGGATCTTTTTTTATTTTATATAGAAAGACATGCATGGACTATCCATTGGTAAAAAAAGTAAAGACAAAAGTAAAAAATCATTATTTTGTTTTGATTAGATCATTCTTGCATAACTATAGCCATATAAGGACAGATTTACGGATTATATATAAGGAGAACATTCGTCTCCTTAAATACTGTTTAAGGCTCCTGGCCTCTCGCTTCTGACGCCATTAAAAAAAGATAGACAATGTGAGGGGCCAAGAGCCTTAAGCGAGCTCTCAAAATTTATCAGTGGCAGACAAAAATTTATCGTTGACCACGTCGATTTACGGAACACCGCGCGCGTGTCCGTGAGTGACGTCTGAGACATATCTTTCTTTCGCTTCTTCGTTTAATCTCTTCCAAGCAAATTCGCGAATCCGTTGGTGTGAAAATCCCGGTCCTCTTTCTGAAAATCATTATTCCTCACACGCTTGAATTTTTACGTTCGCATGTGCTTTCGTATACGACAGGTGTAGTTACTTTTCATCACGAGGAATTGCTTAGAAACAATATTCTTATTTATTTATCACACACCAATATACAAAAATGAACTGTATAATCAATATCAGAATATAATATACTACGAAAAATTCAAATATATTTAATAAAGGTATATCTGTGAGTATCTTACAAGATTAGAATGATGCTTCAACTTGAAACAAAAATCATCTACAACATTCTTTGCAGTTGGCACAGAAATTCTGGTAGAAAAACGTATTTCTACGGCCGTCCTAAGGATTATAAATAAGTATTAATTTACGGGAGTCCTTAGCTTCTAACAAATCGCCTAAGTAGTCGTGAGTGAAAATAAGATGTCGAGCTTTCCCATTTTTTTTCTTCTTTTTCCTAATTTTTCCCTAACTAATCCCTCTGCGTATATGACCTGGGAGCCGGAAGTTGCTTCGTTTCACTATTTTCGTTTACTTTAGAGCGCGGTCGAAGCACCGCGTTACGGAATGTCCACACAATATATCTTGTATCTGTTGAAACGCATGCTAAAAAATTTCGGTCATACTTTCTTCATTCGTAATAATTAATTAAATAATCATCGCGTCCTGTCTTTTGCATATTCTTCTCTCGTGTATGCGTCGTTTTATTCATCAACGATTTCACAATATCAAATTAGTGACGTTTCCTGTAACGTGCGTTGAGAATGCGTTTCGGTACGGCTGCGATCGTTAGCAGAGCGATCTTTATTCACATTCATTCACGAGTCATTACCTCCCGGTATTGCCTCCGCGATATTCTGACGCAGTTCCTGTCGCGCGACGCGAAGCTGTTACGAAAGCGTAAAGCCGCACGCATAATAAAGATCACGTTACCGATCCTCTCTCGTACATACGTCTCCTAGATTTATGTACTATATTATTAACGAAGTTACTTGCGTGTTACTGTGGCGCGAAGTGTGGCGTACGAACATAAAATTATACGCGATACAGATGCAAATGCAGTATCAGAGACGCCAGATTCTCGGGAAGGGGCGGAGGCAGGGGATGAGGATTTCGCGTGGGTGGATGCGTTTTAACATTTACAAAATCGTTTTCGCGTACAGCCGTGGACGCAGAGGTGACTCCATCACCGCGTGGCGAGGCAACGACGCCTCGATCGCCTCGGTGCTCAAAGACGCGCGCTCATAGAAGCCTCGCGTGCACGAGAGGTTCCTCCTCGTACTCGCGAGGATCCGTTGCCGTATCGCCGAGAGAGAAAGAGAGAGAGAAAGGGGAAAGTAAAAGATAAAGAGAAAGAGTGCTACGCACAACACGTGAGAATGTGAATGTAAGATCCTCGCGAGGAGAGAAAGGGTGGCGGGCGGGCTCGCATGCGTACAGATATACGGTTAGACTCGTAGATGGGTTACGAGACTCTCGGCTTTAAGGCTCACGCTGAATCCTTCCTGAAGAGTCACCTCTGTCCGCGGTAACACCATAAGACGTGAATGTTCGTGACTGCGACATCGATCGTTGGATACCACACGACGACGAACCGGTTTCTCTCGCACTCTCTCCACGACCACCATCTCTAATACTCCGCCTCTATGAAAAAACATGGAATGTATAGTACCTTTTATCGGTTTACATCTTAATAATGTACGATTATATCACAAGAAAGATTCAAATATTCTGTACATAATCCGCGACGACTCGAGGCGCCCGGGTCAGGTTGCCCCTTCTTTCTTTCTTTCTTTCTTTCTTTCTTTCTTTCTCTTCATCTTCTTCTTCTCTCTCTGTTTCTCTCTGGCTGTCCCATTTTATCCTTTCTCTTGCTATCTCCCTCTTTTCTTCCTCCGTTCTGTGCTCTGTTCTTTTTAAATCTTACATTTACATACGCCTAAGATTTAATTACAAAGTTAGATATGTCTCAGGTTCACCTGGTATTGTACTTCATACAATTTCTCGTGACTGGCGAGTCAGTCCGAGATACACGCAGCTGACGAGCACACGTGTGTGCGTCGCACTCGAGAAACGAAACGTGTCGCGCGCGTCACGTGCGTGTTCGACGAAATGAATACTTCGTTCTTTCACGCTCTATCTCGGCCGCTTGTCGCTTACGTTAGTAGCTCGATATCGATATTGGCACATCTTTTTAATGGCAAGTTTCGCATTGGCACGCATTTTAATGACCTCAGGAATGGTCTCGTACACGGTCCCTCGAAAGAGAGTCTAAATCGCTGACAATAAGTCGATAATGTTGAATAACGAGCGAACACAGTTCAATCTTAATCGCGATTGCTTCTGAATCGAGAAAATGGTAGTCATAAAGATCGTGAAATCAAGAAAAACACGCATTGCACAACGAAATCGTTAGTTTTCCCTGCGGACGCGTTTGGAATGTTGTCGAAGGGACTTTGATCTCGACCATTCCTCGGGTTTTCACGTCGTTCTATTGCGGTCAATCACACGCACGACGCTCCATTGTGATTGATACCAGCTGAGATGACCGATACGTCGGTTACCGAGGAGTAAGTTGCACTTTGACGCTGTTTCGTCTGTACGTAAAAAGGATCGCTGGTCCAGGTAAGTTTTCTAAGAGAGAGAGAAAAGGAACAATTTCTAATACTACAAGCAAACTGTAGAAACTCGACAACTCGAAATATCAAATTGAAAGGAGGATGATAAATTCTTTTCTTGACCAGTTTTTTTTTATCTTTTCGTGATTCCTCCTTGTCGATTGAACAAATGTCCTTTTCTCGCTCGTGCTTTTAACCAATCTATGAGCTTTACTTGTATCGCAGATTGCTGCTCATCAATCGCTACGACATACGTAAAACTATCGGATTCGCGAGAACGGTTGCAGGGAAATTGCTCGAATTAACATTAATAGTAACAATTGCACTAAGTTCCTTGCGTTCGACGACTCTATCGTAATTATCCTCGCGAAATTACCTTCATACAACTCTTTCGCCTCTCCTTCTTTTTACAAGTCGCGCTTTTCGCGCGCGAAATTTTCGACAGAAACGAAGATCAACGGTACGAGGGAATCGGATGAAGTTCCACGCTATATTCTTTACATACTCGTAGCGTCTTTTCCACCCCTCTTCCTGTTCATCGTATATGTGTGTGTGTGTGTGTATACACGCGTATTTATTAGTTTCTTTACTTATTGTAGCCGCGCTTGTATACCAGCACGACTTTTCACCCCGTACAAAAGATAACGATACTTCAGTCGCGACTATTAACTACACGACTATAAAATAAGATGACGGGCTTGCAAAAGATAATCGTCAACATTTACAACGCGTAGAGATTGCGAAATAAAAAAAAAGAGACAGAAGAACCGTATATACCGGAAAAGGCGACCAGCGAAAAAGAGTCGAGTCCCTCATCCCTATGTTCCCGACAGGCTCCGTAAACGAGCGAGAATTTTCGTCGTCCCGTTCCCTAACCGCCGACTAATATCCCTGATTGCACGTTACATCGCACATACGCATACCCTGCGTGTCGAATTGCCTAACAGAGAAGCCTTCACGACCAGCCAACCTCGGGCGTACGGCGCCGTTGCACGCGGTGCGACGTGTCGCGAGTACCTTGCCGCACATGCGACGCGCGTTCGTCTACGACACGTGTACGCGGTTCTTCCAGTGGTCCACTGCGAGAGAGCTTTCCGCGACGGACTTGACGCGCGGCCAGGCTCATTCGTACGGCCAGGAATGCCTGATAGATGTGACCACGTTCGAGGTAGGCGGGTCTTCCGGGCGTCACTTCTTCATGTCGTTCATCAACGTGCCGTCCTTGCTTTTGTTCGTGTCGAGATTCGACTGTTGACTGCTTGTCACGCCGCTACCGTTCCCCGGGTACATCTTTTCCAGATGATTCAAAGATTCGCTTAGGAACTTCTGCAATGAGATTGCAAACAGGACTCGTGAACGTAAGAGCAGAAATGAACCAAGTTCTTATGATCGTTTTCCGGCTCGGCTTGAAATCATGAGACGTGAATAAGTGTGAGAGAAAAATATGTGAGTCATTTTCTGGACGCGTATTGCATATATATATATATATATATATATATATATATATATATATATATATTTTTTTTTTTTTTT